AGGGTTCGGATCCCACATACAGACCGGCCGCTCACTGGCTGAGCAAGGTACGGGCGCAACAGCGAGGGTTGCGATCCCGTTGCCGGTCCCGGTCCAGTATGGGCGTGACACTGAGGGTTGCAATCTGTTGCCGGTCATGAAAAAAAAGACAAAAAGGAAAAAAAAAAAAAAAAGAAAGGGTGGGAATTTAGTAACTGCAATTTAATATTGAAATATTTGTCACATTTATTTTTTTTTAATTTGAAAATGTTTCCCCTCTTTTTTAGAACATTTTTGAGTTATGATAGTCTTCATTCTCTGTTCTGCCTGGTGTATATTTGATGTATCCCAAAATGACGGTGATGTGAAATCATCATAAGTTATACTTTTAGTATTTTCAATTGTAGTTAGAAATTTTGTACCAATAATATTTTAAGCATATTTTTTTCAGGGTGAAATAAACAACTAAGTGATATACAGTAGATGATCCTGCTAATATAATCTAGTAGGAAAAAAAGATGGAACTTAAATGTAGTTGTAATCTATATTAGAAAGTTAGAAAAAGAGAGAGGTTTTAGACTTATACTATAAAACAAGTTAAAGACCTAAGTAATTGTATTTTTTCATAGTTAGCAGTTTTGTCTTCTATGAAAAACCCCACGTCTTGAAAATCTGTACTAGGCATAAAACATATTGCTGCTTAATGCATATGGTGTTTTATTTAAAAATACAGTTATTTACAGAAAAATCTATTTCAGTTAGAAAAACTTTATTACACATTTCATACCTACTCATCCCATATAGACTCGATATGTTCTGTGGTTTGAAATTATGTAGCTAATTTATGCAGCACTCGTTTCTTTTCTGGCTTGAATTCTGTAATATGGTATTCTTGAATGAACAATTCCACTAATGTGAAATGAAGACACTTCTTTCTCCCTGTTCCATTTTCTCAGGATTGGGGGAAAGTAAGGCAGCCTGGTGAGTAGTCTTGGATGGCGTTACCATGTGGATTCTGATTCAGGATGTCTTGGGTGGGGCCTGAGAGTGTGCAGTTCCTACAGGCTCCCACACCAAGGAAGTAGAGGAGGTTTACTATTAGCTAACCAAAGCTGAAGAGATTGGGTTTATGCACATGGGTCTATTTGCCTGTGCAACTTGAACAGCCAGTTTTACTTCACTTTGCTTTTTGCTTTATATCAGAAAAAGATGGCCAGTTATGAGGTTATTGCGAGTTATAGCACAGTGATTATCTAGCACAGTGATTAGCATATAGAGGCAGTACAGTGTGTTTCCTTACTCCTTTGTCTTGAATCTCCAAGGGCTGTCTGTACAGACACTGTAGACTAGACACAGTGCCTGCTTCATGAGCTGTCACTGTGTGGGGTCACACTGGGTCCCATGCGTGCTGTTATCTGTCTTGAAATTCTTAATAATTTTATGTTTGAATTTGTGTAGGTTTTCTTAAGTGAAGTGCAATGGGACAGTGAAGCATGAATGTAGCAGAGAAAGTCTTGTCTGTCAGCTGCATTGCCCACACATGTGGCCCAGCCCTGAGGGTAGTGCAGGCAGCCTACATCCTCAGCATGCAACCACACCACAGTGATGTGGCTGTCCCTGCATAGACCTGTTCTTCCCATCTCTTACTGGATTTTGCCTCTGGATTAACCAAAGTCCTAACCACCTACCTCATCTCAGCCTCCTTTCTAAGAGTCCCAGTCAATTTGCTAGCCTGATAGATTCATTCATGTTCAGGCTAAGTACAAGAACTAAAGTGTAAATCCAAGGGGTCATGTAAAGAACTTGAAGCTGGTATCCTCTAGAGAAACCCTTCTCCCTATTGCTTCAAGACAAGGTAGAATAATGCAAAAGATTATTTGCAATCAACAAGTCTTTAGTGCCATTTCAGATGCACTTTGTAATTAACATAATTAACACATCCATCATCAGTCATGGTGTACATTTTAAAATCTCAATGCTTGTTCATCTTATAACTGAAAGTGTGTACTCTTTGACCAATCAAAATGAATTTTTTTTAATCCTTTTTGAGACTGGCCACACCGCGCTCAGCCAGTGAGCGCTGTGAGCGCACCGGTCATCCCTATATAGGATCCAAACCCGCGGCGGGAGTGCTGCCATGCTCCCAGCACCGCACCCTCCCGAGTGCGCCACGGGCTCGGCCCCAAAATGAATTTTTGATTCTATAAAATACCATCACTGCATATTATGTTTATTCTTATGATAGGGTTTATACAAAGAGGTATCCATGTTAAATAATACTTAAAGTTAATTTATCTGATGTTTTAGGCTAAATTCCAAATCAGACAGATATAAAAGGTAGTTTACTGTGCAAAGAACAATAATTATTATTTATTATTATTATTATTATTTTTTGAGATGAACCACACTGGCATATTTATTGATCTGCTTAGGCTTAGTAGTTCATCCTTTGCAGTATAACTTTTTCTTTTTTTTTTTTCATTAAATTTTTATTTTGTCAATATACAATGCATTAGATTATTATGGCCCATCACTGACACCTCCCTCCCACCTCCCTCTCTCCCCTCCCACCCAAGAATGTCCTTTCCATTTGCTTGTTGTAACAACTTCAAAAAAGTATAGTTGTTATATCTTCTTCCCCCTCCCCCGGTTTTTTGTGAGTGTGTATGTGGGTGAATTAATCTGTTTATTTTTAGCTCCTACCAATGAGTGAGAACATGTGGTATTTCTTTTTCTCTGCCTGACTCGTTTCACTCAATATTATTCTCTCAAGGTCCATCCATGTTGTTGCAAATGGCAGTATTTCATTCGTTTTTATAGCTGAGTAATATTCCATTGTGTAGATATACCACATTTTCCATATCCACTCATCCGATGATGGACATTTGGGCTGATTCCAACTCTTGGCTATTGTAAAGAGTGCTGCAATGAACATTGGGGAACAGGTATACCTTCGACTTGATGATTTCCATTCCTTTGGATATATTCCCAGCAGTAGGATAGCTGGGTCATATGGTTTCCCGGATGCTGAGTGATGTTGAGCATTTTTTCATATGACTGTTGGCCATTTGTATATCTTCCTTAGAGAATTGCCTACTTAGCTCTTTTGCCCATTTTTTTATTGGGTTGTTTGTTTTTTACTTGTAAAGTTGTTTGAGTTCCTTGTATATTCTGGATATTAATCCTTTGTCGGATGTATATTTTGCAAATATTTTCTCCCATTCTATTGGTTGTCTTTTATATGATGGATTTGTTTTTTTAAATCTTGAGTGCCTTAACTGAAGGAAATTTCATCTAAGAAAATGCCAGATTATAGCATTAGGTTTAGGGTCTGTAAATATTGTTCATGTTTTCTGAAGAACAGACTGTTCATGAGAATTTTTTTTTGTCCTTAAGAGAGAGAAGAGAGAGATATTGAATATAAAACATTTTGTTTTCATATTACGTTTTACTAGAAGAACAGAATTCCCAGTTTCACACTTAATTTTTTTTAGAAAGACTGCTAAGTATGCTTGAAAAACAAAAACAATAAAGCAATATCTTGGGGTTTTGCATATAATAGGAAACATAATTTAAAAGACTATTTTAAAATGTGTATGCAATAGAATTAGAGTGTTTATACTAAAATTAAAGTAACAAGTTTTCTTACTTAAAGAAAAGCCCTTGTACATTGTGTGATGCAAATGAAATAAATTAATATTTAAGAGTAAGCTCATAACTTCCATTTAAAGTTACTTAAGGGCTTCTTGGTAGGATAACAAGAAAAAGAGTTAAAGTTCATTTCTACATGAAGAGAGCAATAGAAAAAACTCAATTTTATTTTTTAAACAGTAAGAATATTGCTGATACTGTTAATTTCCAGTGTTTGTCTTTGCATTTCTATAGCTGTAGGTCTTGCTGCATGCCAAGAGCCAGCCCTTCCCAGCAATGGCATCAAAATAGGAGACCGATACATGGTGAACGATGTGCTCTCCTTTCAGTGCGAGCCTGGGTACACCCTGCAGGTATCTTTCTCTTGTGTTTCAGTGATAAAGTGGGTTCATCATGGTGATCTTTAGGCAGCTGGCTTAAAGCTAAAGTCCTAGATTTTTACCCATATATGTGTGTATATGTGTGTGTGTGTGTATATATATATTTATATAAAATTTACTCAGAGAAATATTTTCCTCACTTAGGTTCATCATGGTGATCTTTAGGCAGCTGGCTTAAAGCTAAAGTCCTAGATTTTTACCCATATATGTGTGTATATATGTGTGTGTGTGTATATATATATTTATATAAAATTTACTCAGAGAAATATTTTCCTCACTTAGTTTTTGAATCAACTATTCATATTAAATCATACATGTTGGTAATCTTAGTCGTCATTTGAAAATAGTTTCTAAATGATAAAGTACCCTTTCAGAGCTAATAATTTTATTTTTCACTATTATTTTATTTCAAAATGTATGTTCTCCCAGTACCTATGTAGAGAACATTCTAGCAGCAAAGTATTGACACTATCTCCTTTAAAGTTCTACCCTGGCATCCATTTATCAGATATGCTTCTGACTCAGGTGCTTGTCCTGCTTTGCAAACTGTTCTCATGACTCAGTTCATTAAATCATCATTAGACTTTGTCATTAGACTGTGCTAGGTAAATAAGACATTCAGATAGTAGATTTAAATAATTTTCAAAAATATTAAGAAGAATTTTTTATAAACCCTTTTTTTGTGTTCTAAAGATTTTACGTAAAAGTTTTTATAAACATTTTATAAACTAATGTATAGCAAGATTAGTCTTTTTTTTTTCCTGGTTTAAATATGAACAAACTTACTCCCACAATAGTTTCTATCATTTGGGATAATGCTTATAAATCTTCTTGCCAACAATGAAAATTGATAATCTAAACATGTATATTCCAAAGTCCAGGAGAAATATTTAAGCCTATTGATGTTTCTACTCTTTACTTAATTCAGGTAATATAGTTGTTTCTGCTATATGTTTATTATAACATTGAAGCTTATAGTTTTTCAAAAACATTTCTTTTAGCCATGCTCTGTAACAACTTAAATAAAATAGCCTAAGCAAACATCAGAAAAGACTTGCAACAATACAGCAGTGAAATATCACCATTGCATATAATTCAATTTCTGCATATATGTTGGTGTAAATGTCATGTAGAACTGGATCAAGTAACAACAGCAGCAGCAGCTAGCAAATACTGAATGCTGATGGAGTGCTGCACCCAGTGCTTCATACAGAAAATCTCATGTGATTCCCGATTAACCATATGATATGTACCATATGATGTAAACTTTAAGCTGAGAGAAAATATCTGTAAGATACCTAAAACGCATCAGTAAATGAAAATGATTGTTCCTATTAACACAAACAATTATCAGTATGTAAAGTCCCTTTTGTAAAAACAAGCCCACAATGCCCACAGTGTATGTAATGTAGATCTTGGTAATTGCTAATTGCTCTACACTAATTGCTCTTACTCTGCAACAGGATGGACCATAGAACCAGAATTTCTGTAGAGAAATTATCATGAGAAAGCTCTCCTGAGAGTTCTGCTATCTAAATAAGTTTCTAACCAAGCACACTAAGACTATACAGGCTGATTCTTTAAGTCACAGCTTTCCTGTGTCACATGTTTCAGTATAAATGATTATGCGTCATAACTCAAAGGTTCCATTTAGAGGGACACCTCAATGTATACAAACATGCCAGTTTTATGACTTTATTGGGAGCTTGCATTATAATTGACTGAAATCATGTAAAATCAATTTCTCTTTATTAAATTCCCATATTTTAATACTTGCCCTTGCTTATGGATGTTCCTCTTTTTACTTGACGATGTGACTTTGTATTTTCTGTTAGTCTTCTTTTACAAGTGATATTGAAATTCTCAGAGAATGTAATAGAAAGGATTCTTCAGTAAAGGAATTTCTTAGAATGAATTGTTTAATATGCTGCTTAGAGATACAGGCCTGCAGATAGACTTTTGCAAAGTCCAAACAGACCACTTGTTACCTCTGTTTTTCAAATGCAAACAAGCTACGTTTTTCTTCATTGCAAACAATGTTAAGCCTTGAGTTTGCAAACTGCTGTTTATCACTCACATGAGCAAAACGGAATTGTGGATTTTTAAAAATTGCTAACAACCGACAATTTCACTAACACATTAGTGTATTTGGAATGACAGCATGCATAAATTACATGGAAAGCATAGTGTCTGGTGTAGTTCACACATAAATGTCTATAAATACATGAGCTTCATAGGCATGCCATGATATCACACACTGAAAGTAAATCCTAAATATTTGAATGGTTTGTGATTTCCAGCTTCTCTAGACTTTAGTGTTCTTTTAAAACATAAAAAAGAAAATTCCCATTTGAGTAAAAACTAGTAAACAAATACACAGGGTCCTGTCTTGTTTTTGAATCATTACAATAATATCAACTGGAATCACTCATCTAAAATGTTGGTACCTGAATCAATAGCAGAATATGACCTAGACTGATAACAAATGACTATTTTCTTGTTGTTCTTCAATAGAGAGTTTTAAGAGCTTTTGCACTTTATGTTTATCCATACTGCAAAAAGAAATTTATTAAAGATTATTTAATGAATCAGAGAATATACACAGTGTGAGTGATAGCAGCAAAAACATCCAGAATATCTTCTTTAAAGATAAATATAGACTTCCTTTACTGTAATTCCTTTTAAAAATATCAAGAAGTATGAGAAAATGAGTTTTATGGCAGATGAATTGAGCATGAAATGTTCCTAAGCTTAGGGAATCGATTTGCCATTGATAACTGCATTAGTGCAAGTTCTTGTTTGATGCATTCCCAATGTGGTTGGGATTATTTAACATGAATTAAAGATTTGTTTTTCAGTTGCCCCCATGCCAATTGTGGGTGACAAATGGAAATTCATGAGATAAGTAAGCCTGGTCAATAAGACCACTGAGTCACAATAAGGAAAAATCAGAAATATACTGCACACAGAGGTCCCATTTATTAACTTCTTTTTAATTATAAGAGAGATTTTAGCACAAAATATCTCTGAATTTAATCTCTGATAGTTGATTTTTAAAGGAGTAAGACTAGAACATTTTTGAAAGTTGAAAGTTAAAAACTTCATATATTTAAAGGACAAAGAGATCATGAGAGATGAGGATTAATTTCTTTGCAGGCATATTAATTTGACAAGTTGTGAGGCTGTCTAGTAATGAAATGAATATCAAGTCTCCTTTTCCATGATAAAGGAAGAACTGACCCAGTTTGTTGCTGAACTGTGGTGATCATGTCACTGGTAACCACAGATAATCATGGAAGTTACCTTTTCATAAGTAGACCATGTATCACTGACATTTTACCCTTCTAATCAACAGCTAGTATTTGTGAATCATTTTCAGCCTCTCTGACCAAAAGCTGTAAATTCTGATGATGGAAGGAAAAAAAAAAAAGATGTGCTTTGCCCAGTTCAATTAATCTTCTTTAAGTATTAGGAAAGGAGCCTGGCAGAACTATCGCCTATTTAAAGGGACATTGCAAGATTTTGTTTTTAGCAAACAGAAAGAATGATTTTTTTTTCTATGTTGATTCAAAATATGGGATTCCTTGATAATCATTAGCAGAAATTTGTTTTATGATTTCTGAATTTTATTTACATTTGTAATTTTTAAAAAAGGACAGTGAAGGAAGTATAGATATTCTCACAAATATGAGTGTTTAGTCTTTAAATACTCTATTTTCAGTTATGTGAGTTTTATTTTATTTTCTTTTAAACAGGGCCGTTCCCACATTTCTTGTATGCCAGGAACAGTTCGTCGTTGGAACTATCCGTCTCCCCTCTGCATTGGTATGGATATACCTTCCGTGACTGTGTTTCCGTGCGCACATACTATGAGTGACATGCATGGCCTACTTGCTCTTCTCTTGGGCTTCAAATGATGGCCTTCTAAATTTCTCTCAAAACATTTGTTATAGAATAATAACATAATGCCTAGAGGTGTCACAAGAATTTAAGGTGCATCTTCTCCCACTGGATGCAGTAGCTCAGCTTTTTCGGTACCTCCGAGTCAGCCTGCATGGACTGGATTGCCAGCTCAAGGCACCAAGCTCAAATTACATTTGTATCAGAAGGACAGTGTATTTATAGGAAGGAAGGAATATAGCTGGTCTGAAAGTCTGAGCAGTTTCCTGTATAGGCCTTCAGTCTCGAGAAAACCAAGTTTCTAGAAACAAAATTCGGAGTTACAAGTTAGTGATTTAAGGTGGACTATATTTCCTGTTGCAGATGACCCAGTGACTGCTCTTGTGTCTTGCCTGTCTCTTTGAGGAAAGGCCTTTCAGACACTGTACTTAAAGAGGAAGAACCCATGCTTCAGTTTCCATGAACTTTACCATAGATTATCTGATGGGAGTTTTAATCATTCCCTTGGCATCGCAGGTGATGATCGTTTGCCCCCAGGACAGGAAGTCCCTGAAATGCAAAGGCCAGCAATGTCAGGGTGCTCTTTGATCTCCCTCACCTGGCCAGAGCTTCACGCAGCACCTGTATGTTGCTGTCCAATTCAGAAATCTACATCTATGGCTCAGGTGACCATACGAACTTGTCAGGTACTGTCTCAGCATAATCATTGTGGGTCACTTAACACTCAGAACACCCAACGCACATACGAATTAGCTTCTTCAAACGCATCCCCTCCTGGATCCCCGTCCTCAGTGAGTGCCGTTATCATGCACCGTTTTTGACTAAACCACAAATCTGGGTGTTATCTCAGATTTCTCCCTTACTCACCAAATTGAAATGATTTCTCACTCATGTCAACTCTTCCACGTGGCTGCATCCTCACTTGTGATTTCTATTTCTAATGCCTCCCCTCCTCTAAATCACTGTATCCACAGGGTTCTAAACTATAGCTCAGCAATGCTCCAACTTTAGCTTGGGAATGAGCTTATTAACATTTACCCCCTTAAAGTCCTTCGGTTTCCTGCCTACTCTGCACCCAGTCCCCCTGGCCAAAGTAACATGCCCCAGCTTTTCTGTATGGCTTATAGGTCTACCACACCAGCTGACACCTTCATGGCATACGCTGTCCCAATGCCTCGTATTCTTTTCCTTTCTTTCTCCCAACAGAGTTCTGCTCATTGTTTAAGAATCTAATCATCCTCTGTGATTCCTTCCCTCATCTTCTCGGCATTCAGCACAGTGCTAGTTGTGGTAGAGCCCGAGGCAAAAGGAACAATCAGTAATTCTGACCGTCTTTATTGAAAATGTCGATATTTTGTTCATCATCGATTTTTTGCAATAATTTTAATTTTTTCAAGTACTTCGTTAAAATAGTATTGGAGAGTTTAGGCACCCTCTTGAATTTCACACCTAAGGGAAGTGTCTCCTTAGCTTCCCCCTCATCCCAGCCCTGTCCAGATTCCAACCTTCAGGTGTGATTAATCATCCCTACCTGGGCCAGCACCTCACCATGCACTTGATTCTACCTCTTCGTGTGGAGCTATAAAAGCACTATTATTTAACTTGCCCTCCCTATAATCTCCAAGGACTTTGGTGACAGAGTTAGGCACCACTCATCACTGGACCTTCAGCACATAGCAGGTGCACAAGAATTTCAATTCAAGGCTGATCAGTAAACGAATGACTGTCAGAGAGCATGGGTCATTGTAATGGCCACATTTTAAAAGTCCCTCATAGTCTTTCGACACTCAGGTCTTGCTGTGGGCCACACTCAGAACCCCCTTTTCTCCAGATTGCTAGCCCCAGAGGCCCCATACTGCCAGATGGCATTTCAGGAGAAAGTAGGCCAGACTATGTGGAAAAATGCAGGCAATTTTAAAGGCCACAGTAGATCCTTAAAACTGTCCTCTGAGCTATTCACATACTGCTTAGGATTCATTTTGCCAAAAAATATGACAGCGTAGTGTGTTGGTGGTAAAGCAAGGTAATTCCTCTCTGTGACATTTTTTGACAGCCTAATTCTCCCACATCTTGAACAAATCTTGGGTATTAAATGGCTTTTAATAATGTACAATTTAGCTATCTTGAACGGCACACGGATGGAATTGTGACAGAGGAAAATAAAACCACACTAAACCTGTAAAGCAAACAAAACCTCTGCCTTTATGTTAGTCTCATTGAGGAAATGCCTGTCCATGTTCCACTTACCATAGCATATTTGTTATTTGTTTACAAGTGGAAAATGTTTCTTAGTGGCCAGTGTCTTAGTTTATGAAAGTTATTTCCAGGTAAAAATAAATGCCTACATTAATATATCACTGAAAAACATGAAGTTATTTGTATGAAGATTTAACATCCCAGCCTTGACTTGAAGGAAGGAACTACCGCCTTTCACTTACTCAGACCATCAGTCTTCTTGTTTATTTTTAAATGAAAAGCTTTTCCTTAAACTTAGGAATTGAAATATTTTAAACCTTGAAATGAAATCAATTCCCAGCAGGCATTCAGTCAAATAAAATGCTATCTCTGTCACTCTATATTATGTAAGGAAATGTTTTATTTGAATAGTTATCTTAGCAAAATATAATTGACTTTCATCTTACATTTAACATATCTCATATGTTAGCAAATGTTGAAAATACATCAGCTTGTAACTCTTTTCAAGGTATGGAGAAAGATTTTGCATTTCTTACACATGACCCATGATAAATCTCAAAGACTGATTTGAGAGATTGGAAGGATTTTGTTACTGTTAGCTTTAGATTAACCCAAGCTGGGACACTTTAGTATTAGAAATCTGTAGTGAAGCAATATTTTACTTATTAGTTTCTGGAAATCTCATGTCCTATTTTATTTTTTTCTTAAATAGTAGTACTAATGAAGACGGTATATATAAATCCACTGCTCTAGAGGTTACTAAGTGTCAAGCATTGTTCTCAGATCTTAAACAGTATTGACTGTTTTGAATATCAGAACAGGCCCCAGAGTGGTCAAGCAGTTTGCCAGGGTCCCACGGCCAAGCTGGCATTCACAATGGAGCAGGTGGCCCCACACCTCCCTGTGTCGCAGCACCATGGAGCTCCTCAGCAGAGCATAGCCTGTGCTCTTGAGTAAAAATTCGATATATTCTTACCCAAAACAAAACAAAACAGGAATCTGCATGAAACGAGATATATAAATCCAGTAAAATGTAAGGTTCCTAGCTATTTTCTAGATATAAACACATTGGCCTTTAGAAGTACCGTATTTACCAATAACTCTCTAAAGACATTATTTACCTATAAAAGAAAGGGCCTGGCATGGAGGGAGAGTGCCCAGCAGGAGGAAGGAGTTGGCCAAATGAGGACAGGTAAGCACTGAGAAGAAGGCTGATACTGACAGTCACATTGAACCAATGTAAAATACAAGTCCGGAGGTGGAGTTCTGAAAATATTGCAAAGCAAAACAATCGATACCTGTCTTTTGGAAGCTCTATTTTTATGCTCATACATTGATTCTTAGCTTGTTAGACGAACAAAAACAGATTACGTGTGGTCATAACAACATACTCTGGTGATTAGGTGATTATCGCATGTTTGACAGGAGATGTGTGCATGTGAGTCTCCCACCATACTGAGAGTTGGCCTGTGGTAAACACAGATAGTAATATTGATGACGGACACCTTGCCAGCATTCACGCAAGGCTGTCTCAGTCCTCAGATGGAGATGTACATGGATGCTTGTATTTTATAATTCCGCATGTATGGAAAGCTTGCTCGAAATCAAAAGGCCTTTTTTTGGAAATGTTACCTTTCTTTTACCCTTGCTTTCCTGTTTTCATCATTGATTTGGCCTTTTTCATTTATGTCTTCCCTGTAGTTGAGTAGCCATAGCTACTCCCATTGCAGGTTATGAGAGCCATACGGGAAGGGGTATTATTATCAAACATACTTAGTTGTGCCACAAAGGGACACTAGTGTGTCTTCAACAAAGTTCACAGACTCACGGACAAAGGGCAAACCAGAACTGACCCTCCCAAATACTTGATATCTCCCACAAAGAAATCACCCTTAGATGTTATACTCTAAATAAAGGCAAAGTTGATGTTGTCCAAGACTCTTCTGGAATTATGTCTTACACCCCCAAAATATACTTTTTAATTTTTGTAACTTACATTTTTTAATTTACACAATGTTTGAAACCCAGAATATGATGCTATGGCTTGAATATTTAACATGTTCAGTAGACTTGAATTTTACATATTTCCTCATATTAAATTTACTCTGGATTAATAAAGTTTTTCTTCTGGATGATTAAAAAAACAAATAAAACAAAGGTTCCACAACAGGTCCTGAGGGACCTCTGAAAAAGGGCTTCCAAAAAACATTTTGTCTAAAATATTTTGCCTAATGAGAGCATTGTTAGAATAAGAATAAAGCCTTTTCATGTGGTTTTCTGAAAAGAAATGGAATCATTTACATTATTAGTTTGAAATATAAAAAATTGCCATCTTAATAGGCCAGATGTCATTATTTCATAGGCTCCAATGTATGTCATTTGGCATGTGTGTTATTAAATTGATCATGTTTCTTTGTAGTGAAACCTCAGATATAATCTTACAACATCTGAATAACCAAGATAAGGCCAGATTCAGGTGCTTATTTTCAAATGCATCATGACAACGTACAATTCCTTGGGGAGAAAGTGGTTACAGTTAACTGCATTCCAGAATTGAAAACAAATCTGACAGTAATATGTCCTGGTTAAAACTTGGGTTCTGGAACCAGGCAGAGCTGGAGCAACATTCTGCTGTGCAGTTTACCAGGCATATAACTTTAGACAGTTTTTAATCTCTTCAAAGTTTGTTTTCCTTATCTGTAAGGTGGGGTAGTCATAATACCAACTTTTTAGAGTTGTTATGAGATTTAAGTGATGTAATATATTTTTCTCAGCACAGTAGGTAGCACATAGTTAATGATCAATGAATAGTCACCAATACTACCACTCAGTAAATAGCAGGTGATAAGCTGAAGCCAGTCTGATGCCTGGCTAGAATACAAACATTAAATGGGCTAACCTTTGCTGAGAGTCTCGGAGCACCACAAGATACAAGTTGAAGAGCGGCCTCTATTCTTAAGTAGTTCACAGTCAAGAGGGAGAGCTAAGCCCATAAATAACTGAAGCATGCTGCATCATGCCATGTGCTATAATTAGGGGCAGAATTCAATTCTGAAGACTTGCTCTCCTTAACAAGGCGAGCAGAGCAGGTTGGAATAAGTATTTTTGGGAGAAAGTGAGAACCCACGGGACTGATGGCCATTGTCCATTTAACAGCGACCTGTGGAGGGACCTTGAGCAACACGGGGGGAGTGATCTTGAGCCCAGGGTTCCCGGGTTCTTACCCCAACAACTTAGACTGCACCTGGAGGATCTCGTTGCCCATTGGCTATGGTAAGTGAAAACATTTTTAATTCCTTAAATTTCAATCTTTTCATTTCTATCTTGAAAAAAAATTAAGCTGAATTAACAAATGTGTCTTATTCTGTTGACATAACTGTGTCTTTAATTGAAAGTAGCTTACAGATTTAAATAAAGCTTTGGCAGAATAATGTGGAGAACAGAAAGTTATTTGAAAAATCAATTCATCCGTGCACCTCCTTTCAAGGCAAATTAAATCACTGAATGATGATATAGTAGTCTCACCAAGTGCAAAGTGGAGCATCACTGACTCAATTATCAGTCTCTGTATTGATGATACAGCCTCCTCTAATCTGTCTCTGAAATTCAGTAATGGTTATTATTCTTTTCTGACCAATTTCGAAGGCTTTTTTCAGGTTATAACAAATTCTAAATTGAATATATGACATAAATTTGAAAAGAGTGTTTTCTCAGTATATTGATCATAGGTTTATGAAAATGGCTTTTTTATATTTACTTATTAATTTTCAGGTTATTCACCTAAAATAAATCATAATTTTACTTGTCATGTACATGAAAACCTCATTTTGGCCTGTCTTCAGAAATGCATGGTCTTTGCAAAATTTTGATTCCCTCTCAGGCCTTTTTCTATTGCTTTGCCTCCCACGGATTTGTCACTCCTTTTCCCCTGGGTGACGGAGCCACCAGAGATTACTCAAAGCCCATCTCTTTTGAGCAGTGAGAAGCCCCAGAAAGGGGTTAATATCCCAGTACCCTCAAGCATGAGGCATTCCTTCCATTTGGGAAATTAACCACGAATTGGGGTTCTCTTCCTGCATTTATTCTCCAGACCAGGAAGTTACAGGAAGAGACATACGTGGGGTTTTGCTAAGTACAGTTTAACAGGTTTTACAATAGAAGCTGGTAACATTCAGTAAAAACAATTCAGATGACATTCTGTTAGGCAATTAAGTGATCCACTAACAAAGGCTTTATATAGCTGACATTCCTTTTCCCTCTAGCAGCTTTTTAGTAACTTTACATATCAATTAGTAACTTGTCTGTCTGAGGACCAGCAGCCTTGCTGTGTTATGATTCTTACCTTGCAACAGAGACTCAATAGCCTGGGGGAAATTTCCAGTCATTTGCAAGGTCAATATTTGAAACTGCAAGTCTTTGGAAAACCAGGCCTTGTGAGGTACATTTGCTTTATGAATCCTCTATATTTTCCCATGTGCCCATAGTTTCATTCATATTTTAGTTCTTTCATTTGGGTTTCCACCATGTGTGATTTCCTCTAAAGCACACACTGTAGATACACCAAGTTAAGTAGTCCATGAATGTCCTAGGACAGAGTAATTAGGTACCTACATACTAAATAAATGTTAACTGAATGGTGAATAAATATGAGCATAAATGTAAATCACTGCCCTAAAAGAAGATCCTGATTTTTATGTTTTCCAAGCTTTTGCCTTAAGAATCTGTGCCCAGGATGGCAGTAGCCATAGGAGTGAGAATGGAGAGCGCAGGTCAGGGCTGACTTGCTCAGCAGAGAACAATGACAGGAATAAAAACATGAGGGCTGTGCAGGCTTGGTCAGGTGCGTGACTGTGGAGGGGCTGTCACCCAGCGTGGGTTGCTATGAAGGAAAGAGGAGGAGCATGGAGGAGCAGCCCTGATGGGGACAACATGTGGGGGTCATGACCAATGAGTTCGTAAAGATGCCACTCAGAGGGTCTTGGGCTGGAAAGAGAAGATACTCTCCATGAGAAGATTATAGGACCACTCTATTTCTTCCAGGATTTTTAGTTTTTACCTTTGTTTTGTAAACCATAAACTCTCTGAGCATAGAAAGCAATAGTTATGCTCTGTGCTAGAGAAAGCAGAGGTCTCTGAGGAACTTTAACCAACATTGGCTCAGTTATTTTCAAAAGCTGGGTCCGCTTTTCCTACCGTGGAGATCTGAAGACATGTCCTGCTGCTACTCATCTTTGGAGTCAGGCATTAAGGGTTGTATCAGAGATACATGTAACCCAGGATATTTTCAACAGGATCATAAGGCTCTTAAGGGTCACAAGCTTGTAAGGCAAATTCTCATAGTAGTTAAAAGCAGAGGATGAGAGAAATCTGGGGCAAACTACCGCTGCATCTCTGGTGGAGTATAGCGTTTCTTAAATGAGTGAATTTCTTAATCTCTGTAACTGAAAGAACCACCTAAGATTGTGGTGAGGATTAATTCAAATAATTCAGGCAAGAAGTTAGCACAGCACTTGGCACATGGTAAATAACAATAAAAAACAAAATTAAAAAACCCACTTAGCAATTTTTTGTATTATTATTCCAAATATTTTTACTTTCTCTTTCAAATGAATTAGAAACATTATATTCATGAATTGGTGTAAATATTTTTAAAAATTGTTTTTCCAACTTTATTGTTCTATAGTTTATGAGAAAGATACCTTTTGGTTTATTTCTATATATTGTTCATTCATAAACTATTATGCAAGAGAATAATTAAAAAAAAATCCAGTTAAATCAAATTATCTGAATTCATGATCAATATGTATTAATTTGAACAAAATATTTATTTTAAGAAAAACTGAACGTTAAAACTTACAAAACATTATATTTAAAATAATGTAAAATCTTTAAAATATTTGGTATTACATAGTGTTGTAGTTTAAAGATGATCTAGAAGAAAAGACAAAAGAGAAACATTATCTCTTAAATTGTACATGCATATAAAATAGTATGAATATTCCTAAGTTTTAAAGATAAATATAGTTATGCTTCATTATAATTTTAGGTTAAATTTAAGTAATGCACCAGGTTTGCCTGTGATAAGTTTTATAACCTATAAATATACTTCCAAATACGAAGCTATGAATTTGGAGGCGAGGCAGGACAGTGGCGGTTGGTTCCCTGACATAGTGAACATTTGGAGTTTTTCTGCCCCTGCTAGGAATTCTTTCTACAGCTTAAGTAATTTTAGACCATTTTGCAGACTCTGAGAAAATATTACTACTTAGTTTTCAACTTCACATCAGTTTTATAGTTGAAAACTCTTAAGTTAAGGAGTTCTATATATTCCTAGTCCTTTTTAATTTTTACCTTCTATCCCTTGTTATATTCATTATCCTGTAGCCTCAACTCTCCCTTCTACACACATGACATCACTAGTCTTGCTCTCCAATACCAAACCTCATTTCAGCTGCATGTGTAGTATTTCATCTGGGTCATCCGAAGGCGTCTCAAGCTCCATGTAGATTCCCCTATTTGATTCCCAATTGCAGCAAGTTTTCCCCAGAATCTCCCAAATCATAAGCAAATATCAGATCTCTCCCCTGGAAATTTTGAGAAAAGAAGTTTGGGGTTGAGACCCAGGAATTTGCATTTAACAATCAAGCACACCAGAAGTTTCTTATTTAAAAAATTGAGAATATGGCAGAGGTGACCACAATATCTTCTAATTATAACTTCTCCCTCTTTGGTCTTCCATATTGTGTCCTATTAGTACCCAAACCTTAGAATGATTCTGGAATATTTCCCATAATTACATCTCAAGAAAGGGCCCGTGATTTCCTAATGGGGCAAGCAGGGAGATTAGGAAGATAGGTATTTCTGTTAATGTCTTACCTAGAAAACTTCTGCTGCCAGTATGATCTTGGTAATCAAGTTGGAAAATAATAGTAAGAAGATATTTCCTCCTTAATACTGAGAAAAGGGATATACTTGGTAGGTAATTTACATTGATAAATACAGTAGGTTTAACCAGTTCTTCCTAGTCAGTGTGAAATGGCACGTTGCTGTCCCTACACTGCATCTGCCCCAGATTTCCTCTGGTGTGCGTGTGTGCATGTGTGTGTGCGTGTGCATGAGTGTGTGTAGGGTGGTCTTCTACTAGCCCTCTCTCTTTCATGAGGTGTGGGAAACAATACTAAACAATGTTTTTTGGGGTTTTGTTTTTGTTTTTTTGTTTTTGCAATATCACTGGATGTTTAATCAGGAAACAGACATTATGTGAAACTTACTTAAGATCCAAACAGAATTTCATTCAGATTTATTGAAAATTGTATCTACTTCAACTTGGAACACCATGTAACAAGGAAGGTGGTTGCTTAGTTCAGTGGTTCTGAGATTTTACCATGTACAAGAAGCAATGGTGGCAGTTGAGTTGTTACAGTGCAGATTCCTGGGGTCTGTGCCCAGACACCCCCACTCAGTGCCCCTGGTGGGATTAGGCAAAGAATTCTGTTTTCACATAGCGCCTCCAGTTTGGATGATAGAGTCAGGCTGTTTCAGGAAAAAATTTCTCTTACTATGGAAGAGTATTTTAAATCTAAATAAGATGACATATGCATACAGATTTTCATAGGATTTTTACAAATATTATTAGGATAAATTGGCATAAAAATGTAAGAATTGTGAGATTTTTGCCAATTGGAAGTAGAGAGAGAATATTACTGAGTATGAAACAGAATCAAATTTTTAAAGTGAATTACAAAAGAATTCTACTATTTTTCCAGAATATTCTGGTATGTAATTTTTGTTCTTCAAATAGTATTTTGGTACCTGAGTATAGATCCCTGTTTCCCTGATGGTCAGTCTTAGAGTCTGGTTTCTCAAGGCATGGCTGTTACACTGGCAAGCATGAATGACTTCAACTTCTCCAGTTACTGTGGATAATAACACTTTCCAGAGTACGAGACATCATTGCCTTCTCTTGAGGAAAAATACATTTGATGGTTTTCATTCACAGAGGATTTCATTGGGCGTTTTGAATCTTTCCATGCAATGAGATGTGCATGGGACTGCCTGATAGATTATCCAATCCCTAAGTTAAGCAGCTACCAACTAAGTCAAATAATTCTTTTGATTAATCCCATTACCCCCTCCTAGGGCCCATGCATCAATCAACAGTTTAATTAAACAGGGAAAAGTGAGTGGTTGCTTTGGCATCATGTGGAAACCACCTTTGTCTTGCTTCTCTCATTATTCATTCCAGGGCCAACTATCTTTTGCACCCTGCCTCAGGCACATGATGCAGCTCTTCTCCCAGAATGATCTCTGAGATGCTGGCCCAAAGTTTCTGAGCTGTGGGCATTATGTTTTGTGGTTGCTCATGATTTGGCGCTCTGAATTTAGCTGAATAGAAATCTTAGCTCTCTATCAATTACAAACTTGCACAAGTTACCGAAATGTTTTTGAACCCTGTTTCCTTATTTTTAAAATGAATATAATAAAATATTAATCCCATAGGGCTGTTTTGAAGTGCAATTAAATGCCTCGCATAAAGAAGGCATTTAAATGTTAATTGTTTCTTGTAACTAAACCACATTCTCTGATGTTTTTATGTCCTTTTCTTTCCTTTTCACAGGCTTGGGTTTCTGGTTTATGTTACTTTTTCAGAGCTCAATCAACTCAGGATTTCTGTCTCTATTTTCTTGAGAATGTCTAAGGGCACAGTTAATAGAAATGCAGCCAAGTTTTTTCTGCTTTACCATTACCCTTTTATTTTTTTTTTAAATGCACTGCACTAATATTGCACACAATGCTGTCCAAAATTAGCATGCCTTTGGACCATCTGGAGACATAGTAAAGATATAAAAGATACTTTGGGATGTTCACTAAATACCATGACTATTTTTCTTTTGCCATAAGTTTATTACGCACAGAAGATGCTAAACAGAGCAATTAATATTCACAAGTTCTATCGACTAAAAATGAGGCTTTACTCCGAAATCATAGTCTCATCATTATTCAAAGTTTTGTCAAAGCTCAAAGGCAAGGATCCTTTGTGCAGGTGACTCTTCACTGACACTTAATTTTCCATATTTGACTATAATCGGATGAGAATGTGCTATGTAAATTCCACCAAAGAGAGACGTTTAGATTGATTTTCTTATTGTAATAATGCATTTTTCTTCGTATTCTGTGAGATAATAAAAGGATAACTAGTTTATGCTTATTTCAATCCCTTCATTGGGGCTTTGTGTTGTCAAACGGAATGCAATTTGCTGAATATTAGATAGCTAAATAATTATATTTTAAGTCAGATTAGAGCTGGGTTCCATTCTATTTCCTGATGTGTATTAGGTGGTTTGATATGTGGCTGGATACCTTATCCTGCTTAAAATGGTAATTTTTTTCACAGTATCATAATTGTCATAATGCAATTTCCATTTCAAGTTGAATTCCAAGACAGTGAAAAAGCCACTTTCATTCTCTCCTATACTTTTAAGACATTGGCCATCTTCAATGTTTTACCCCTTGATCTGCTTGCTATCTTTCATTTTTTTGTGTGATTTTTGACTTTGTCATTCCATAAATTTCAAAATGTGTCTCTGGATAAATACATCTGAAGTCTACATATGCGCATCTGAAATGAGCATATTTAAGCCATTTTCCTGTTGTTTTTTATTTTAAATATTCTGATCTTGCCCTGGTTTTCCATTCTGTCTGGTACTTTCTGAACATGAAGAGAAACGTTGGTAATTCAACAGATATTCTTTGGTGGTTCTCAGGTCAGCTTCTTGATACCACATGGTAGTGACTATGTGACTGGTGTGTATGAAGCTCTGTAGACCATGTGGGTTTAATGTCCCTAAAATAGTCACACACACACACACACGCACACACACATGACTCCTTAGTACATTTTATTTATTAGTAACAAAATTCTTTTTTGTCATGTTTATAGACCATGCGACAGTAGGTAGGTAAGGAGACAAGTCAGATACTGGTGTGTAATCTACTAAGTGATTAACTAGCTAAGCTGTCACAGCATGTGGAAGGGACAATTAATTCAGAACTGAGAGACACAAGAGAGCCACCAGCCCTCCCTTCTTTCCTCCCTACTTTTTTCCCTTCCTTCCTCCCCTCTTTCTCCCTCCCTTTCTCTCTTTTCTTTCTTTATTCCCACTTGTAAATTTCTTTCAACCAAAAATATTTGCTGGAATTCAGGACAAAAAAAAAAATAAGTTCATTATGGCTATTTAACAAAGAGCAGTATTTAATGCAGTTGAATATTTACATTTAATATTAAAATTTAAAGTGTTGTTCCATCTTGGTTATCTAGAGTGGACAATGTTTGAATGTCCAAGACAACTGTAGACTGGGAAATTACCTAACTACTTTTTTTTTTTTTCCCTTTTTTTGTCTTTTTTCATGTCCGGAAATGGATCGCAACCCTCAGTGTCGCGCCCGTACCGGACCGGGACCGGCAATGGGATCGCAACCGTCGGTGTTGCGCCCGCACCTCGCTCAGCCAGTGAGCGGGAACCGGTCTGTATGTGGGTTCCGAACCCTCGGCGGGAGCGCCACCGCGCTCCCCAAGCGGCGCACTGTAGCAGTGCGCCACCGGGCCGGCCCGGAAATTACCTAACTACTGATGTGCTACTGGTGTATAGACTTGGACTATGTGATATGAATCTAATTAATCATTCTAAAAGGAATTCAAATTTTAATTGGTTTATTAAACATCTTTCTTTTTCTTCTTTTTTTTTGCCTCCTCTGTCTCTTTCTGAAGTTTTCTACATCCTCCTTTCTTTTACTCATCCTCTTTAAATCTAGGTTGAACAAATTCCATACAATCCAATGTTCTCCAAGAAGTAGTGTAATGTTTTTAACACCAGGAGATTATTATTATTAGCCTGTTTGCATGCTAAACCAGAAAAAATGAAAACTTTATCTTATACTCCCACGTCTACCCATCTCTTCGTTTCATTGGACACAACACTGACCAGTTCTGAGCCTTGGTTTGCTCACCTATGAAATTATGAAAATAATAATGGTTACCTTCCTGGGAAAAAAAAGTCAGTAAGTTGGACCCCAAGTGTGAGAGTTGACCTTATACTGTGCCCAGCCAGAAAGAGCCATTATTTCCTCTGTTCTTCCTCACAAAGTGTTTTCCATAATTGATGAAATTGTTTTTTTGTTGTTGTTTGTTTGTTTTTAATATGACTTTAAATTTTATTGAGTACTTTTAGGTTTTTCTTCTCTACAACTCTTTACTTAAGCTTAAGCTCTTCTCATGTATCAGAAACAGGAAAACTGCAACACAAAGTAAAGCTCTTCTTGTATGTTGGGAGAATACTCAGTAATAGTTACTAGTATTCTCAGTTTAGGTTTTACTGACCAACTAAATTCTGTGGATTTATGGAAAGACTAATATCTTTGGAGCTCTGTATAAACTATTTAAATAAACTAAAACATTGTAGACATAGTAGTCAAATAATTTTTTAAATGCCATAATACCATAGCAAATAACTCTAAATTATTTTATTTTTATGTTCTTGTAAATTATCAGCCATAGTGTAGTTAGTACACAGATCAATATAACAGAAATATCAGTCACTTAGTCTTTGGTATGTTGGGCTCTGCCAGGCTGTTAGATTTAGTTGTGAGAGTTATGGTGGGGTTTATTTGATTGGGTTTTTTATAACATCAGTAGTTTGCTTTAAATGCATAAAACAATTAAAATTAATCACTTACCAAACTGTTAAATCTCTTGCACAATGGTATAACCTTCCATTTAGAGTAAAAGCTATTTTTAAAGTTTGTTGCATGTTTTTAGGCCAAGAAGCCATTCTTCCTTGGTAAAGCCATAGATTAACTTGTGGATGAAGTCATGTACGATTACAATCTTGTATTTATGATTGTGGTAATTGTATAAGCAACTGGACAGGATCATTTCCATGCATATGTGTACTAATCACCATTTTTTTTTTTTTTTGTCTTTTTTTCCATGTCCGGCAACGGGATCGCAACCCTCGGCGTTGCTCCCGCGCCTCGCTCAGCCAGTGAGCGGGAACCGGTCTGTATGTGGGATCCGAACCCTCGGGCGGGAGCGCCGCCGCGCTTCCCAAGCGGCGCACTATTCAGTGCACCACCGGGCCGGCCCCACTAATCACCATTCTAAAAATGATGCCTGTTTATCTCTGTGGCACAGTCCTGGTAATATTCGTATTTCACAAATAAGTTGACTTAGAGACATTAATTACATGAACAAAGATTATACGGCTAGTAGTGACAGAGGCAAAATTGAACCAAGGTCTGCTTTGATCCAAAATGTGTGCTTTCCTCCACTCTGCCATTCTGTCTCATAGAAAGAGATTTTTGGGGGAGATTGGTAAGATTATAAGCACTTTTGAGAAACATTGAGTTTATAAATGTTAATATAAACTTCCATTAATTTTGCATATTTTTTCATAGGTGCACATATTCAGTTTCTGAATTTTTCTACCGAAGCTAATCATGACTACCTTGAAATTCAGAATGGACCTTACCACACCAGCCCGATGATTGGGCAGTTCAGTGGCACAGATCTCCCCTCGGCACTGCTGAGCACAACGCACGAAACACTCATCCACTTCTACAGCGACCATTCACAGAACCGGCAAGGATTTAAGCTTGCTTACCAAGGTAAATAAAAAAACAAACAAACAAACAAAAAAACTACGTATGCTCCTTACATTTAAATTGTATTTAAATATGCATCTCCCTTATTGGTTAAAAACATGTAGAGCTAGAATAAATTTCAGTGGAATGTTGGTTTCTGATTACTAGTGAAGCCACTGCTGTTCTTAAGCATGCAGGTGAGCACACAGACATGGAGAGTGTGACTAGGTGGGCTGTCACTTCAGCTTCACCAAACTCCCTCCCACCTCTCTCACCCTCTCTTGTGGCTGTCGTCCATCACATACCTGCCTAGTACCATCCATATCATCTCATAAACTTCTCACTCCCTCTTGGTGCTTGTTCCTCTAGGACATAGGGAGTCGTAGGATATAGGGAGTCACTTCATAATGGAAGTTAGTCTGGCAGAGTCTCTCCTGTACTCATGTCTTGTCTCAGTAGGAGACAGTGGCTGCATGTACTATTCAAGCCACGTTCAAATTATGCAAAAAAAAAAAAAAAAGAAAGAAAAGAAAAGAAAATTCAGCATCTGAACTTTATCCTTTTTACATCCGTCCAAATATGCAGTCTCTAAGGAAAGTTTGAATCAACCATGATCAAAGCGTTTTTGACATGTGAAAAAGTTCAACATTTTCATTTCATATAAAATAATTTAGCTGGCCTTTTCTTGAATATTGCTACATCAAATGAAATTGAAAATGTCAAATTTAGGGCCTATTTTTTAAAAACACAGCTAAATCACTTGCTTTCCTTAATTTCACAGACTGACCTCGGAAATAGATATAGTACTGAACGAAAACAAATTTTAGTACTGAAAGAGGCTAGTATTTTTTGTTGGACTCAGACATTGTTAGTTAAATTCTCACCTAAAATATAAAATATAGGCACAGATTTTCAAAATTGAGATCTCTTAAAATAGGAATCCTGGTAAGAGGAAAAACAAAGGGGAAATAAAGGCTAGATCAGTGAGCAACGTGTTCATAGACATTGCCAGAATTTCTCTCTGTGTGCTCTGTGTTTTTCATTATTTCTCCTCTTATATTTTTCCTGCATTTCAGCAAACAGTATCACGTCCTCTTGAAAGGCATTCACAAACACACACACACACACTCTCTCTCTCTCTCTCTCTCTCTCTCTCTCTCTCTCTCACGTCCGTATTTATATATAATTTTTAGTGCACCTTCAATCCTTTATCTTCCTTTAGCTTCTACTTTCCAAGAAACATCTTCTGAAGGATGCTCTACACTGACTTTTTCAGTCTCCACGCCTCTTCCACACTTCTCTCCTTCATTCTTACCTGGCATTTAACACACCAGGCTGTGGACACGATCTTCCATTTCAGTAGATGTGCCCGTCATGCATCATTCCCCATACTTCCTGTTAGCTCCTTGCCCCTTGGCTTCAGTGTCACCACAGTCTCTCTGTTATTCTACTAGCTCTCCATCTATCTCCGTATTTTCTTTGTTTCCTTGTCTTCTTCTAAGTGATGACTTTAGGTACAGGACTCAACTGGAATTCTCCTATATTTTTGTCATACAATTTCCCTGAGTGTCATCTACACTCCAGGATTCAGTGACCATCATAGCCATCCGTAATTTATAACCCTTGTGTCTGTGTCTCCAGTTCAAGTACTCTGTGAGCTCCAGAACGGGATGTGTATCCATTACTCCACATCTCCGCTGGGGATCACACAGGCACTTGAACTGCGTCCAAAACTGAGCTCACAATTTTCCTTCTCAAGCAAGCTCTCCTCCAGTCTCTGCCTCTCACTAAGCACACAATGTGATATCCCTGGGATCCTGCCACTTCTGCCATCTGCCACCACCACCAGTAGTCCTAACCACTCTCAGATCTTTTTCCTAGAAAATTGTCCCACTCTTAAATGGTTTTACCACACTTATTTTTCCAGCTTCACTCATCTCTCCAAAAAGCAAACGTGATCTGTCCCTATCTTGATGAAAGCCTTTTCCACGCTTTCCTATACAGGTCAAGCTCTGTAAGGAGCCTAATTCCCAGCTGTCCTTTCTCCACTCTCTTCTCACCCTCTGAGCTCAGCGTACTGCCCTTCTGAAGTGCTTCCAGGAGCCGCTATCCTTTCTACCTTGGGGCTTTTACACATGTAGTAATCTCAACCTGGAATTTCCCCTGTTCCCCCTGTTCCCCACTGTCTTTCAGGTTGTCATTGGCCTCTTTATATGTAATATCCTAAAGAAGGTGATCTCTGATTACCCCGACTTATTAGGAATGTGAGGTGACCTTGGGTGTCTGTGTGTGGTAGCCAATAGTGCTGCTCACCAAGTCTTCCCCATTTTCCCCCTGTCCAGACTCAGGGTATAGATGCTCCTTCAGGATTAAGTGTGATCGCATGACTTGCTTTGGCTGATGCAATTTGACTGAGTGTCATTTGGGATGGAAACCTTAAGAACCGACATTTACTGTGTTCTGATGGCTGCTGGGACATCTGGGTCCAGTGGAGGACTAGAGACTCCTGCCATCCCAGCCAGGAGCAAGAAGAGGGCTTTCATATTTTAAGTCACTGAGATTTGGGATATAGTTACTATGTTATAAACTAGACTAAACTAACAGGCATACCTAGGACTTATTAAAATCAGGAGTTGATTGTATATTTATGTGTTTAATAGACGTCTTAGCAGATAGAATATGCTTGAGGATGGTAGCGGTCATTTCTGTTCCTGCCTCTGCTCTGAGCTCAGCAGGATGCACAGCTCCTGTTCGTAACGTCCCCAGCGCATCATCGTGAATAACCGTGTGCTCCGAGCTCAGTGCTCTTCTCTCCGCACACTGAGGGACTTTATGCCATGCTGCATGTGCATTTTAGGAAAGCACCTGCGCAGAGCTTACTTTTATTAGACTGAGTTCTGTGCTCTAGCTTCCTCATTAAATTAAATCTATTTTAGTCACCACTCTTAGCAGATATTGCCAGCAAAACTACTCAGCCAGCCTTGTTGAAGCAGATACTGGCACAAATACCATGTGTCCAGTCTTGGGAATATTTGGATTTGCAGCGAGCTTCTTTATGGGATTGTGCTCTAAGCCAAAGAAGTACCATTTTGGCAAGTATAGTGGGATTTGCAGTTCCTATCGGGAAATATGACCTGATGACTACCTCAGGCACTGGCTGTCCTACCCAAGTGTGCAAATACTGTCTCTCTGAATGTACCTTGAGTATAGCTGCCGATATTAAAATGTTTTCTACACCAGCACCATTCTCTTCTTCTTTTCATTGCATCACTTCCATTCCCACCACATGCCCCAAAGGTAGAAAACTAAAGGACCAGAATTATGTGGCTGTGCATTTTGTAATGGATAGATGACTTGATGCAATTAGTGAAACACATAAACATGAAAATGTAGTCTTGATCAAATTCTTGGACTAACCTGGGTTCCATAGATAAATTGAGTCTCAGTAAGTCGTGGCTAGATCTCATTAAGTAGGCAGGGAACAAAGCTCCAGATTCTTCTCTGAGTCAGCTCTCTCTGTAAATGACGGAAACCTGACTCAACCTAGTTCAAGCAAAAAGTACAAAGTTGAAGCTGGATGAACTTAAGCATAACTGAAATCTAGGAATCAGTGACATCAGGATTCTGTCTGCTCCTCTTCTGGTTTTCTTAGTCAGCTTTTTCTGTTCAAATACACATGGAAGATGTGGCCCCAATCTAACCATACCCCAGACAGCAAGGACAGGGTCTCTCTTTCCCTAAGTCAATTGCTACACATTTTGGGAACACATTCTTAGTGAGGCAGTGTGGGTCATGGTTCCCTGCCACATCCAGTCACTGAGCCCGGGTGGATGGGCATTATATGTTAGCTCTACCTGAGTCACATGCTTCAGAAAACGTGACTAGCAGCCTTCATCAAAGGGCATAGTTTGAGAGGAGGAGAAGCAGCTTTCTTCCAGAAAAAAAAATAATAATAATAAATGTACTACTGATCTGTCATGTAATTGGATTAAAACTCTATACAAATGAAATATTTGTATGAAGGAGACTTTTATTAGTGTTTTCAAACACACACCTCATTCATTCTTCTGCAAGCATTATTAGTTGGTCTGGAAGAGCTAGTCGTCCCTGTTCTACTGTATTAAAAACAACACCAGTAACAGCTGTTATTCATTGAGCACTCATTCAGTGCAACACCCTGGGCTTCCTGATTTTCAAAAAAAGATTCTAAGGGTGTGTTATACCCATTTTACAGATGAGGAAACCAAGGCTCAGAGAGGTTGAGCAAACAGTGGAAAATTGTGCGGCTGTGTGTGGCACAATGATTTGAAATCAAGTCTGTTAGATGCCAAAGCGGCCACTATCAGCCAGCCTTCTGTATCTCTACTGAAGAAAGGGAATGAGAAGGTTTTTGGATGCTGAGTTGAGTGCTTTAGCCACCATACTAACATGCAGGACGGTGTTTAGATTTATATAACGGAGCAAGCTTATCAAGCCCAGTTTCCTCTCGCAGTTCACAAAACCTGTCAACCATCCATGTGCTACAGAACACAGTGACAGGGAAAACCCCATCTCAGTCTTCAGGGTGCAGACATGAGCCCCACTTGCTCATCTCAGGTTCTGTGGGTCATATGTTCGCCACAGATGCTTCCAGCACTTGCCTTGAAATGTGGCTGTGAGGTGTTGCCTCATGCCCTGTGGAGCCCGGGGTCAGCTGTGGCTCCCATGCCTCTTACAGTCCTGGGGTGTTTATTCAGGGACTTCCCAATGTCATGGCCCTTGGACATCAGCAGCTGTCCCCGTGACTCATCTAGCAAACACTTCCATAGCACTTTCTAGGAGTTTTACAAGGATTCAAGTCCTGTTGGGCTGAGTGACTGGTCCCCTGTTTACTAGTGAGGAAACAGAATCTGACAGCGTGGCCCAGCGTGCAGGACCAGGGTGGAGCGCGGGCTCTCTGGCCTGGGGTCTGTGCTTGGAACCCATGCACCTCTGCCCTCACGCTGCCACCTGTGGGCTTCCCTGTAACCACCTCCTCCTGCTGG